TTTTATGATTAGAGGACTAAAAGTTTACTTTTTAAAGTTAATGGACCAAAATAAAACCTTGTGTAAAATTAAAGGGCTAAAAATATACTTTAGCATAAAAAAATTAGTTAAATTGAAGACCTCTTATATTTATAATTAATAGAAATATTTTGAAAAAAATTATGAATTTAAAAAATAAATTAAATTAAATTATTATATTTAAATCTGACAATATCTTTTTGAACTGATATACTTAAGATGAGAAGTCTGAACTTAATTTTAGTTTGAAAACATATAGTTGAACACAGTAAGTTCAACTTTAATTACACAACCGCATTATTGTCTTATGTCATACAATATGTCGTGTCTGGCTACGGGTCCGTCCTCATAAAACAGGGCTAGGACGCATTGTTGGAAGCTTGGAGCAAACCAAGTCAAGTGGAGTATAATATACGCGCGCACACGCTCTTAATACAAAAAATTAAATAACTAATTTATAAAAATTAAAAAAAATTAATTAACTTAAATATTTATAATAAATGAGTCTTATCTTTTTTAAAATATTCTGGTTTATCATATGTATTATAATGACAATATTTCAGGCTAAAGTATATATTTTGTTTTTTAACTCTATATAAGGTTTTAATTTGGTCCATTAACTTTAAAAAGTATACTTTTAGTCATTTAATCTCAAAATTATTAGTTTTAAATGAGGATTTTTTTGTAACAATCATAGTTATTTTAAAAATTAAACTTAATATTATAGCATTTAGTAATATTTTATTAATATTTAAGAGCTTAATATCATTATTTTTTATTAATGGTTTTAGGGTTAGAGAACTAAAAATTTATTTTATAAAGTTAAGGGACCAAAATGAAAACTTATGCGAAGTTAAAAAACCAAAAATATACTTTAGCCCCATATTTTGATATGTGTAATCATTATGAGAATTATTTTTTAAAAAATAATTAAACATAAAAGACAAAGTAGATTTGATCGTGTATTTAGATTAAATTAAATCTTTAACTAACTTTTATATCTATCATCAGAGGTATCGTGTGTGAAGGTATATACTATGTTCCTAATCATTTGACTACTTAGGACATAAGATCGCTCATTTTTCCTTCCTTTCAAATTGAAAAACCAAAATGCAGGTATGCAGATGAGAACAAGAAGAAAACGCAAACACATGGGCTGGCTAAAATAATTTGGGGCATGGTTGGTAGGTAGTTCGGTCAAGACAGTTTTTTAACAATTTCATTTCGGATTTTTTTCAAAATAAATTATATGAAAATGTACGAAATTGGTAATTTGGCCACCTTATTTGAAAAATGGTTTAGAATGTGCATTTTTTTAAGTATCTTATTTCTCTTATTCAATGTGATGATATATATATATATATATTAATCGGGTATGACACACGAATTGACTCCCTTGACTTTTTATAATTTTTGAATATCTGTTCATAAAATAACAACGGATATTGAGCACAGTCAAAATTGCCTTTGATGAAAAATGGTTTAGAATTTTTCTTTCAAGGTGATTAAAGGATTTGACTCTTGGATTAAAAAAGCCCCAGCTTCTGTGCTTACATATTGACAAATTTTAAGTAAGAAATAATAGTCACTCATTTAGATGGATTAGTCATTTGCTAGTCAATTATTACTCTTCCAGTCCTTAATATAAGACTTATTTAACTAATTTAATTAGATTAAAGAAGTTAGGTAAGTTGGTTAATTATAAAAAATATGATATGTTTTTTTTCTAAAACATCATAATCATCTTTCTTAATATTCTTTCTCTTTTTTTTATTTAATTATGGTTGAGGGAGTATCAATAAAGGTAATTTAGGAAAAACTGATAAATATGAAAAATAGATCTTATATTTATGACATAAATCAACTCAACAATTAGGTCTTATATTAAAAATTGGAGGAGTATTATTTATTATACTGTCCTTGTCATTTAACTTGTAATTGAATCAGTGGGTACTTGTGAAAATAGTGGCCACTCAGTTAATTGTTCCTATATATCATTTGTGATTAAACTTGTGATTGAACCGAACAGCATTTGTGAAAATAGGGATCACTTATTCAAATAATTGCACGATCATTTGCTAATTCAATTAGATGCTATTCGCTATGCTATTCTAATTATTCATGAGTACGTTTTTCACTATATTGCTTGTGTTCTTCCTAGAGTACAAGATTCAACTTAACTAGGAATGATACACATTGATGTGGCATCTTACAGTAAGATTTCTTAAATGGCGTTTTTTTTTGTGGGTTAGAAGTTGATCATTTTTCTTGATTTATAGGCTCCAAGGCTTAAAACCTATTATCTCCGATTTTAATTATAAGATTTTATTTATAATCTATAAACGAGGTCTTATAATTAGAACCAGAAGTAGTATTATATTTCATCGGTTCTTCTTAGGGAAAATCACCTAACGGGTCCATATGACAAGCATTTGCAAAGTAAAACTAATAAAACATTCCATAAAAAAATGAAGGGAAAAAGCAATCGTTAGCTTTCAATGTATAGCATCTCTTTGCCTAAAATCATCTTCAAAGTAACTCCTAGCTAGGATGTATCCCCAATAATGGTGGCATATATAGCGACTAAGACAAGCATACATATAATTCAAGATCTTTCTATAAAAATTGACACCATGTGATGTAACTACGTGTCTTGGATTTACAAAATTTGCACTAGCTAGCTTTTCCTAGTTGCGTGATCTTGGCCAACTTTATCTCTTGTTGAAGTATAAGTGCATTTTCATGTTGTATTGTCGTGTTAACACTGTGTTTTCTTTCCCATTTGAAAGGGACGTTGGCCTTTTGGATTGATTCCTCTTAAAAGATCAAACGAAGGAACTATGATAAATCCACAATTCGTCCAAAACCAAGCCAAAATAAGCCCAGCTTATGCACATTTTTATATTAAGTATTTAATTATGCAAATAAGTCCAATTGTGCTTAACATAAAAGTGTGCAAATATCATGAGCTTTTAAAATTTGACATCTTGATACAACTAAGGTGTCAAGTGTTAAAAATAATAACCATAATACACAAAATGTACATACTTTTTGCATCTATTGTGAGATTCGAACTTACACCCTTTTTATTATAAGGCATGCAAATGCAAATATGTGATTGTGACATGTGGATAACTGACACCTTCTACGTTTGCCACGCGGCTTCAATTGTAATTGTAATTTTTTTGAAAAAAAACTTGAATAGCTGTATCTGAGCTAATTATAAGTGAGTAGTGAGGAAAATCATAACCGCGGGCATCGATTGCATTAAATGCTCCCCCAATAAATATACACTAAAACAATACTTACATTAAGTTTCTAATATTTATTGTGTCAAGTTTTTTTAATTACACATGACCATGTGTCATATTTTTAAAATATAAGCATTTAATAACATTTAATTATAAATGTATATGAAACCAAAAAAAAGGTGCATATAATCATGTGTGATTAAAGAATTTGATAGAATAGATATAAGCAACTTGAAGTAAGTTTTTTTTTTAAAAATAAATGATTAAATTATAATCATAACTTTAAAAAAAATAGTAAAGCATATATAATACTATCTCCGGTTATATTTATAAAACCTCATTTATAAATTACAAATAAATCTTATAATTTTGACAGGAGATAATATATTAATAAAAATGACGAGTTATATTTGACCGCATGAAAGAACCCACTGAAGATAAAAAAGTGATTTTTCGAAATCTTAAATAATAATGAAGATTATAAACTTTCAAATCATTTAAAAGACATCTATATTATCAAACAGTTGAAAAAGACACAAAGCTCAGCAGCCACGCGAAACACATTTGATTTTGTGTCATTGATATAGCAAAGTAACATCAGACCCAAAAAAAAGAAAGAGCATATAGCAAAGTAACATGTAGTTTAAGTATTTTAATTTAGAGCATCATCTTGGAAAAGTCGAGGAGCCGCTCTTCCTAGTTTCTCGTCCACCTTTCGGTCAAATGACCTTACCACCCTTCTCCCAAAACAAAAATCAGAGAAGAATGAGAAGGATAGTAAGGGTGTGTTTGGTTGGAGGGAGGGGAAGGGAGGGGAAGGGAAATGAGCCCCTCCCCTCATTTGGTTGAAAATTTTGGAGGGGAGGGAAGCTAAAATGTCCCCTCCCCTCCCCTCCCTCCTCCCATTTTGGCTCCCCTCCAAATTAGGGGTTTTTGGAGGGGAGCCAAAATTTTAGACTATTATGCCTTTATGATTTTTTTAATATTCCACTTCTATCCATAAAATATATTATTATAATATTTATTTTAAATAAAAAATATATTATCCTAAATAAAAAAAATTAAAAATATATACATTATTATAATTAAAAATATATTATAAAAATTATTTAAAAATAAAAAATTATTTAAATAAAAATTATAATATTATAAAATTAATTGTTTTTTATAAATATATTATTTATTAAATATATTTTAAAGCTGGAAAAAAAGATAGCCTAAAGAAAATAAAATTTCATTTTTCTTAGAGCATATAAAATTTGTTAATTTGATTATTTTAAATATATTATTATATTAATTAGAATAAAAAATTATTATACCAATTTTTTAATACACATATTAACATGATAAGACTGAATTTTTATTAAATTATATAATTTAAATTAAGATGTAAATTAATTTATATAATATATCAATAAAAAACATAAACTAATATGTAAGGATAAAATGGTAAATTGATTATTACTATCCCTCTCCTCCCCTCCTTGAACCAAACAAGGGATCATTAAATACCCTCCCCTCCCTTCCTTTTTAATCAAACCAAACAAGGTGAGGACGAAACCTCCCCTCCCCTACCCCTTCCTCCCCTCCCCCCCCCTCCTCCCCTCAAACCAAACAGGCCCTAATAGTACTAGCCACCAGGTAGTCAGGTCCCATCCTTTCCTGACCTCAGCCATAACCCTAAACCTGGACCCTTACAATGGCTCAACCCATTTCCTTTACCAGCGGAAACTAAGCTTGCGACGTCGTTTCCGCCCTGGGACTGTAAATTCTGGCTCTTTTTACTCTGTTCTTTCCTGTCGTTGAGTTTCGCTGTTTCTCTGGGACCATTCATTCGCAGCTATGGGTGTGCTTGGGTTCTAAGCGCAGTCAGAGCAACCCAAAAATATTGGTCTTTCGTCTTATGGGTTGCTCTCTCTCTCTATCATGGAGCTCATAACCCTAATCATCAGGGCCTTCAAGCTACTCTGTATGCTCTTCCACCGGTATTCCCACCACTCTCCTCATTCCTAGTTACCTTCATCGTCAGCTTTGCTTTTTATGGCTTTAAAAAAATATGCTTTCAGTATCTTTGCTTTGTCTTCACATGTTCCTTGTCCATGGTTTCCTATATTGTGTAAATTTTCAATCTTTTTGCCATTTATTGGAAGTTGAGGACTTGTTTTTGTAATCAGGTTCCTATGACTTTTTTGTTTCTAGTTATAGCCTCCTCCTCCTCCTCTTCTTCTTCATTTTAGTTAAATCTTTACTATTTTTATTGAGACCGATGAAAGAAGGTATATGATTTTCCCCCGGATTGAACGTGTGGAGTGGGTTATTTTTATTTGGGTTAATCATTCGGGGGCGTTTGGAGTAGAGCGCTCTGTTTAAGGAAGCGATTGCAATTTCGCGAGTTCTTTTTCGTTGACTGAGTTATTGCGGTCTTATTGAGGGTTGGTTTTGTCATGTGGTGTGTCAATCCCTTAATTTTTTTTAAATTTGTGCTTAACGGTGCATATAAGTATTACTGTGGCTTCTAATTCGGGCATGCAAGCTTGATTCCTAGTTCATTGCTTCTAGATATTTTTCCTCTTTTCGGCTTTTTTATATGTTGTTTGATATCTAACGTTAAACACATGAAGTAAGTGTATAATTCAGTTATTTAGTTATTAATTTTTTTTTCAATGAATGCTCTAACTGCATCTGGCTAACTTTTGGTGGCATAATGTTCATGGGGCCTACTCCTCCTTCAAGCTTTCTATTGTTTACATTTGTTACATCTATCTATACTATGTGTTCTATACCATGTGTTGATAACTTTTAATTTCATTTCCCTTGTAATGTTTGTCTCTTAAACGCAATATTCCACCCGGTGTTTAACCGAAATGGATGCAAGGGGAAATAATTACCGCTAAAAATTTGGTTGCTTTATCTATTGTAATTTTACTCTCATTTTTTTTCCCTTTTTTATTTTCTCATTTGGACTTGGATTTTGGATACTATGCTGCAATTGTTCTGTAATGTTGCATCTGTAGAGTTTTAAAAAAAATCTTACATCTATTTGTGTTTCAAACAGGGGATTATCACACCCAGCCAAAACATTCTACTGTTTTGTGGTTCTGTTATGTTCCTTCTATTGCTTTGCTGATTATGGACCATACTGTGCGAATTGGATACAAAATCAGCCAGAATGTGATGCTTGTGTGTCATTTGGGGAAGGTTACAAGTTGGATTTTTCAGATAGCTTCGATAGTGACACTAATGTGGGCTATGGGGTTCCAACTGCCCACAATAGTATTGAAAGCATGTGCCGAAATACTCATACATTCTGCTTTCCTTCGACAATATCTGGATATTCAGACCAACAGAGAAGTCTGAAAGAAGCTTCTTTAGAAGATTCTAGTAGTAAGTACAATGGTCCATTTGGCGTAGAACTAACTCAAGATAGCCACCAGGCAAGTAACAGAAGTTGGTCATCTGACTATGGTATGTTTGAGCTACTTAACGGGGGAGTCGTTTCTTGCTCTTTGAACTCAAGAGAAGGAATTAATGATGCTCCATTATTTGAAACTGAGGGTGGTCATAAAGATGATCTTTCTTCCTGTGGAGGAGCTTTATTTTGGCAGAAGGCAATACCTTCCTCGCCAAAGAACTCCAAGATGGTTGAATCCAGTTTCTTCTCACCCAATGTAAGAATTGGCCCTACTGTGCTGGACTGGGGACAAAAGTACATGTATTCTGCTTCAGTGGCTTTCATAACTGTGGAAAATACATGCACTGACAGTGTATTACACCTTTATGAGCCCTTCAGTACTGACACACAGTTTTATCCTTGTAACTTCAGTGAAATTTCACTAGTTCCGGGTGAATCAGCTGTTATTTCTTTTGTTTTCTTCCCTAGATGCCTGGGCCTGTCTTCAGCTCACTTGATTTTGCAAACAAGTTATGGCGGATTCTTTGTGGAGGCTAAAGGGTATGCGACTGAATCTCCCTATGGTATTCAGCCCCTGCTAGGTCTGGAAATTTCCCCCGGTGGAATGTTGAGCAAGAATTTTTCGTTGTTCAACTCCTTTGATGAAACCATATATGTTGATGAAATAACTGCTTGGATTTCAGTTTCATTGGGGCATAATTCTGTTGAAACCGAAGCAATTTGTAGTATAAATAATATTCATGCTTTTGATAACCTACTCTTCCCGATTATTAAGGATCGATTGGTTGTGAAGAGTGGCCAAATTGATTCACCTGTCGTAGCAATTAGGCCCCATCGAAACTGGGAGGTTAGTCCACATAGCTCTGAAACTCTCCTAGAGATAGATATTTCTGTGGGAACGGAGGGAAAAGTATTTGGTGCATTTTGCCTGCATTTACTCAGATCTTCACAAGAACAGTCTGATACTATCATGGTTCCTATTGAGGCTGCAGTAGTTAGCAATTCTGCCCGTGACACTGTTGGTATACATATTTCAGCAAGTCTCGAGGCTCTAACTCCATGTGATGGTGGTGAAACTGTTATCATTATCTCCATAAGAAATGATGCCCCTTATCTTTCAAGCTTTGTTAAAATTGTAGAAGTTGCTGACTCTCAGATTTTTCACATCAAATATGTGGAAGGCTTGCTACTTTTCCCCAGCACAGTTACACAAGTTGCAATTATTTATTGTAGTCAGCTGCGCACCAAATTACTTGACTTGTCACCTGGAGAGTCTAACTTGCGAGATAACTGCAAGCTTCTCATTCTTACAAATGACTCAACTAGTACCCAAATTGAAATTCAGTGTGAGAACATACTACATATATGTTTTGGTGATCGCTGGCTTTCATCTATTGGATTAGAGCATGAGACTAAGTACATCGAATTGGGAGATCTAGGGGCAGGTTATGTGGCCAGAAGCATGGAAGTGCCACCACATGTTAAGGTATGCAGATTCTTTCTCCTTCCTATTTGGACACAATTGCTGATTCAACACTGAGATATATATTTAGAGTAGTGAGTCTCTTGAATGGAGAAATATATATGTAGATGTTTGTATGCATGTATGTATGCACACAAGTACATACGTATTATCTAAATATGGTAGCATGTTTGCTTCCATGCGCTGCATGAAATTTATAGTTGTTCCGATGGACATTCTTTCATAAAATATTAAGGTAGACAGTTACTGTTAATTGATGCTCCTTGAGCATTTCCTTTCGCGAGTTATTTGTCTCGCATGGATTTGGTGTTAGGAGCGTGCAAATGAATGGATGATTTTGTTCACTTCAGGCTAACAATGGATCTGTCCAGGGTCATTTTAAGAATCCAAGTCTTATTTTATTCGAGATCTAAGGTGCCAAGCCTGGAGATTTAAGATCGTGGATGATTTTTTTGGGATAAGACGCCACAGTAGTGCTCAAGGACCAAGATCCTGTGCAATTTTTGTATAATGATTGACAAATTTTATAAAGGCAAACCAGTGATAAAATGAATAGTCTTTACTATTACTCTACATTATTGTTTCCAATACAAATAAAAGTGGACATCTCTCTTAATACTGATGGCTTGAGTTTGGATGCTTTAAGCCCATAAATTATATAATAGGCAGAAATGTCCTCCAGGATCTTGTGGGCATCTGCTTCCAGATAGGCACTGATAATGCTTCTTGCGTTCTCTTGAGCACCCCCAGCCCAAAAAGAAAAAAGAATCCTTACTTTATTTGCCAATTTTAACCGCCTCATTGCCATACTGGTGTGCATGGAAAATATGCGCCAAGTCAAATCCTTACCACGTACTACTTAGGTTTAATTATTTTGCCTAAAGATATATTTAGTTTTACTCATTTTTCTCATCATAGAAACTAAAATTTTCTGTCATTTGCTTCTGCAGGATATAGGGACAGCAGATGTTGATGAATTAGTTCTTGGAAACTGGATGTCTCAAGGGAAAACAAGTGGCATGTCTGTGCTTGAAAACCTTGATGTGTTATTCCCAGTGATTCAAGTTGGAAGTTTTGTCCCCCAGTGGATCACTGTAAAAAACCCTAGTGAGCATCCAGTTGTAATGCAGCTTATCTTGAATGCTGGAGAAATAATTGATGAATGCAGGGGTCCAGATGGATTAGTAAGCCCATCTTCGTCTGGTAATTTGGTTTTAGATGAGTCCACAACTCCAACAAAGTATGGATTCTCAGTACCTGAGGCTGCAGTAACAAAGGCTTTTGTACACCCTTATGGTCGTGTATCTTTAGGGCCAATAATTTTTTACCCATCAGATAGATGTGGGTGGAGTGGTTCAGCATTGATAAGGAACAACCTTTCAGGCGTTGAGTGGTTATCTCTAAGGGATTTGGAGGGTCAGTTTCCCTAGTCATGCTTGAGAAGTCTGAGCCTGTTCAGAGTTTAAATTTTGATATTGAAATGGCCGGGCACCTCAATCTTTCTCTTCCATATGCCTTACTTCACGTTAAAGAGATGGCTTCAGCCTGTTCACATTCATTAGTGAAAGAGCTCTATGCCAAGAACACAGGAGACTTACCATTGGAGGTGTTAGGTATCAGAGTTTCTGGGAGGGAATGTGGATTGGATGGTTTTATGGTTCATTCTTGTAGAGGTTTTGTTTTGGAACCTGGGGAGTCAACGGAGCTTCTGATATCTTACCAAAGTGATTTTTCTGCAGCCATGGTGCATCGTGATCTTGAACTTGCCTTGGCTACTGGTATTTTTCTGTTACCCATGAAGGCAAGTTTCCCTCATGATATGCTGAGTAACTGCAAGAAATCCATGTTTTGGGTGCGAGTGAAAAAACTCTTTCTGGGATTCTTTCTCCTTACATCCTTACTTTATGTGGTATTCTGCATCATATTTCCTCAAACCACTGCACATGGCTCCTTGGACTTCATGTGTAAGGGTGATGACAATAACAATATTCCCACCACTGTGAAAAATGCTGGTAAAACCCTTCTGCATCATAATCAGAGAAAGAGTAGGTTATCGATGTGTGATAAGATGAATAATCTGTTATGCTCAGTTGGAAAAGACTCAAACTCACTTGGAATGTCTCAATATCAGACGCAAACTCTGAAAAACGGTAAACAGACCAGTCAATTGTTGGATGCTCCAAATGAAAGAAAATTGCCATCTACCATAACTCAGAGCTCTGACACAGCGGAAGCATTGCAACCCGGGAATAATCTCATGGTCAAAACTGGAAAAGAAAAGGGAAGGAGGAGGAAGAGGAAGAGTCTTTCTGCAAAACTAGCATCATTATCTGAAGTTTCAAGTAGTCACAGTGGGAATTCTACACCCTCTTCTCCTCTATCTCCAGTCATATCTGCAACATCTAAATGCAACTGGTCATTGTCTCCTGAGGCGGAGCAGCCCGAGTCTCGTTGTTCGATTACTCAAGAGGCTAACAATCATTCTGACAATGATCAAGCGCCTGTTTCTGCTATTAAGGTTCCGGTGAAGTGCCAGGGAAACATGTCTTCTCCTCAAGGGCTGCTGCATTCAACTTCAATAATAGCTGCTAATAAACCTGTTGAGATTCCTTCTGCTACTTTTCCCCTGCCTGCTGAACCTTCGTCCTCCTTGGCATCAACGCCAACTGTTCGTCCATATGCGCGAGCTCCGGGATCCAAACCTGAGAACGAAAAAACTGTCCAGGCACAAGAGACAGGGCATGCTGATGAGTATACATATGATATATGGGGGGACCATTTCTCTGGACTTCATCTGTTGGGTCCTTCATATGTTACTCCCATGAAGTCTAGTCCTGCGGAAAATAATTTCGACAGCTTTTTTGTCGAGGGTCCGCAAACCCTAAAGACCATTTACCAAGAAGGCTAAAAAAAAAAGTTATCTGATCTCCTCCCTCTGCTTCTAACCTCTATCTGCTTAGCCACACGCACAAACTAAAAGACTAGTCAATAAGCTTAATCTAGAAGTCATACATATATTTAGCATGAATTTCGGAACAAAATTAGCTAGACACAAATAACCTAATTTTGCAAGTGAGAAAAAAAAGGGGGGGGGGTCCAAAACCTATTAGGGGAATTAACGTGGTTGAGTTAATATTAGACTTGATGTTTCTGCCAACCCATGCACAGTAGATTTGGGCAGAATAAGTGACATTAAGCTGCTCAGATATTTTCCAAAGCCAAGAACAGCTGAGGGTTTCGTTAATTGGATTGAATGATAGGCATTTGGAAACGGAAGAAATTCATTATCATCCTATCTAATTGCTTCCCCAGGGGAATTTGTAGAAGTTAATGTTTAATGGTGTTATGGATGAAAGTCTTGTCATCCCATCTATTGACTCGCTCAATTTACGAATTGATCGTCTTGCTGCTTATGTGCCTGAACCTAGCAAAGACTTCGTGTGGTGACCTTTCTTCAAGACAATATCACATGCCCTCGCAGCTAAGGACCATCAAATGGGTATGCTTTTCTTTCTGGGCCTACGAACGCATGCGAAACCCTATTTCTTTAGTTCCGATTTTTTGTTTTTGGGTAGCCCCTTGGTTTGAAGGTTCTTTCCGATCATAGCCTGTTCTTTTGCCGGGCCTTCTGTTTTCTGATTACGTATTGATAGCCTGATGTGATTGCGAGCTTTCTAGAAACATTTTTATTTTATCAAAAAACATGAACTCAAGATGGCTGCCATAGACAAAGATAAGAGAAGTGTTTCTCACCACATGCAGAGGTTGATGGAGACTACAGAGAAACGAGCATGCGCATTTGTCCAGAAGCAGCCGGCAAGAACGGAGAGTCATATCAGAAACTTTGTAAATATTCAGGGACCATTTCTATTTTCCAATCAAAGCACAGCCAACTTGGCATTTCCTACCAGACGTTGACCTTATTGCAACCAAATATCAGAATCCAATATAACTGTACTATTCCACAAAAAAGGCCTTAACTTCTTTGTTGGTAAGCATACTAATAACTCCCAATGTTAGAGAGTAACTCTCTGCATGAGACAATTTAGTTCAACAGTTTGAGGCCATTGTTGGTTGTGTTAGATAAGGGGAAAGCTATAACTCAGTCTATTAGTCCATTCAGTTGGTCCTGCCTCCCGTTGGATCATTTGAAGTGGTCCTATTTGGAAGGGCCTTTATTTTATATATCAGCCTTCAGGACCATTTCTCAGTTCTCACAGCAAAGAAGGATCACGACTTCTCTCTCACTATCTAGTACTAGCATGATTTACTAGCTGTTTTACCCTTCCCAAGATCTACATTCACAATATATCCAGCGTAATTCAACGAAAACTTATCAGAAGCAGAAGCTGAGTTAATGTGGCTGGTAAGAGGTAAGGCATAGTGGGTGGCTTTGTTTTTTCTTTCACAGTTTGACAGATTTTAAGGGACCCCAGATTTATTCGGACCCAGAAAAGGGAAAAAGCTTGATAGTGAGTAGGGTTATGAAGAAACAAAGCTGAGTTGGGGGCTAAGATATTGAGCAGATCAGAGTGTGACCACACAGACCAAAGCTTCACAAAAGTTAAGTTGTGTGGTGTGACACGATGAGTGCTTTTAGGCTTTCAATTCATATTATTTGTGTTGCAAATGTGAAATAGCCAGGCTGATCAGGAAGACACGAACGTTGACATTTAGTCCTTATTCATAGTGCTTGATCTTTCTTTGGATCACTCAAAAAAGCCGAATATATAACAGTTTGTGTCGGCAAAGATCTAAATCAAAGCAGAGATCAGAGAGACACGAAAGTTGAAACCCACAACGATGACCGAAAAAACATGTGAGGATAGGGTCTTACATAATATGATTGATTCCCAGGAGCGAACAAAGTCTCTATCGGCTGGTCGTGGATTAAGAGTGTGTGATATTTTTCTTTGGCTATTGCGTTATCTAACAAGCAAATAGCATAGTGAAGATAAAGGAGTGTTCGATATTATAATTAAAATAGGAAAACAAATGTACGCTCGCATCCCAAAAAGTGATGAACCTATAAAGAAACGAATGGGTGTCATTGATTGAATTAACCCTTTTTGCATGTGATGGTCTGTGCTTTTGCCCTCTTCACCATTTCCACTTTATGCCTTTGGGATCATGAGCCCTGAATTCTATGGAGCTCATTCCTGGTAAAATTACATCTCACAACTCTAAATTTTAAAACGAAAAGATTCGTATTAAAAATTCTTCAAAAAAATATAATTTTTGAAAACAATCTAAATTATTACTACATTTGGTTCAAAATCCCTTCTACTAGGATTGATAAAATACTATCTTCGATCCTAATTATAAGAGCTAGTTGACTAATTTGAAGAAATTAATAAAACAAATTAAGTTAATTATTTGTAATAAATATGTATTGTTTTTCCTAAAATCTCTTTACTAATCAAGTGTATTGGCTAAAATTATTATCATTAGAAGGACTATCTTAGAAAAAAAAATACATAAATATGAGAGACAAAGTGGATTGGGGTCTTATATTTAGAATTAAAACAAAAGTCAAACAGGGTCTTATATTAAGGATCGGAGGTAGTACCATACATCAATCTCCTACTTGGATCAGAGGTACCAATTAAGCTATAAATTCTTGGGAACAAGAGAAATAAATTGTACTAATATATATTTAATGAAATATTTTTTAAATCAATTTATATATATTTTGATGTTTTGTAACATCAAGATTCTTAACATAAAATATTTTTAGTCACTTCGTCTACACTCCATCCATATATAATACAGGAGGGACCACCTGGCAAAACTCAAATCAAGTGATATGCCAAAAAAGGCATTGTTTGTGTTGAAAGTAAAATTGAGTTGTTCTTTACTTTTATTCATGAGGCATCTGTTACTTACCCGCATTACAATGCGAGGGCCTGTATTTCCTTCTTGACTATATATGCATATATTTTACCGCCGCGGTTTTGTTTGTACGGAGTCTGGTTGCAACATTCTTCCCTAATTGAATTGGGAATGGTTTTGACAACAAATGAAAACGATATACAGTCTTATCAGATGAATCCACTTGATATGAGGCGAATTGAATGCAGCAAAGGGGGCATTCTGATTTCTCAAATTGACCCGCTCTGATTTTGCTGCATCATCCTCCATTAATGTATGATGGCACTCCCTAGTGCATCCTGGCCCAGTCCTCTCTCTACACTATTTAATTGCCTACCTTTTCATCTGCAGAGTAGTTGGATGATTTTGCTTTATGAATTTGACACCCAAATATATGTATTAATCAACATTATCTTTGTATTTTAAAAAAATCAACATTATCTAATTCAGAACATTGCTTCCAATGAGGTTCTTGAAAATGGATGCAGGTTGGATGCTTGATGAAAGTTCCAGGTGAAATCATGGAATGATTCCAGTGGCGTGGCGCATGGCTGCAAATTTCACTTTCGCAGGCCCTTTTGGGTTCATGGAATGAATACATCAAAGATTGGATGTTCCTCACGGCACATACACCACATGTTAGTGTAACTTTATTACTGGAGTTATTAATTGAAGCTCTTTGTATTTTATATATTCTAACCATGATAATCATTAACAAATTAAAGCATCTGAGGCAAAAAAAAAAAAAAAACACAAATGAAAGCATCGATCTTTTGGATTTACTAAACCTTTTAATACCAGAGTCTAATCAATAATGCAGTGAAAATTAAATAGGGCTTGACTGTTCATATTTGCTCCATGTCTGTCTCTCCTTAATATATAAACAAGGCTTTTGCTCAAATATATATATATATATATATATATAAACAAGGCATGAGTCACTTATCTTTTCCCTTTTCTTTTCTTTTCCTTTTTTTTTTTTGGCTTGAAATGATGGATTCCTTATCTAATTCACATGATATTGATAACTTTCACCAAAAGTTGATGCAAGGAGAGAACCTTAGCCTTGGTCCTAAAAGTTAGAATACGTCATGAATTCAAATATTTATTATTAGATTCCCTGGTAAAATTATGATAAATACAGACAACACTTTAAAAGGTCTAATCATAAAATGTTGAACCATAAATAATATACTTATTATGTGTTAGAAATTCCTTACTCGAAGTCTCTGATTATTTATGAATGTTTAATTTGATGTTTGTAAATTCTATACATGCTACAGACAATTATTGTAATGCACCCATTCAGTCATCTTTTAGTACTACAAATGATCCGCACAATGGACTGCGTACCCTCCTACTTGTTCTGAATCAAAGATTAGCTTTGAAAACGATCTGTTATCCAAATTTGATTGCATTTTGGGATTTTTTTGTTTACCAGTATTATTCTTGAGAAGATGATCCATTAGAATAGCCCTTGGGCTGAATTCCCTTTCACCCGACAAGAAACGTAATACAAATGATATTTCAGGAGTAGGTTGAGGACACGGTTTTATGTGTCTGTTGGGTCTGTGTGGACCAGTATGGAAATAAGACAGAGCAAGAATGCAGCTTAGTATTTGGTCGGATTCCTCTGTTTAATTTAAGGCATCTGCTTCCAAATGAATGGCTGTGAGATCAGAGTAGTGTTTTTGTAATGGAACACAAACATAGAGCACCGAGTAGAGTGAGAGAGTGAGAGAGTGAGAGTATGGGAAGCCCCAGCTGCTCACGTGCCCTTGCTAATGGCATATGGAAGCTGGTATCATTAAATCCATGGACCTAGCATGTGTTCTTCAGTGTTTGTCATTATTATACTTGTTATTTAATCTCTGGCTTTGTCTCTAATGCATTGGGAATGTCTCTCCAGTCTCCAAGCTGCCTTTTTCATTAACTACTGTATTTGAGGGATAGAAAATTTTTCTGTGTTTGAGGAAAATAACATGCCAATTTGTTAAGTACTCCCTCCCTCCTGTTCAAAATATAAGATACACTTTATTCATGTATGCTTATTAAAAAATTAGTTAAAATCAGTTTAAAACAATAAATATGTAAAATATGTATTTTTTTTTAAATATGCCCTTATTAATGAAGAGAATAGGTAAAAGATACAAGAAATGAATCAAAGAGAAAATGAAATATATGAGAAGCAGAATTAAAAAAAAGTCATTAAATGTTTAGGCAAAAGTGAATGTTATCTTATTAAAAAAAAAAAAAACCAAACCTCTTCAACAAAGTTTATCTTATATTTTGAACTAGAGGGAGCGATTTGGTTCCTATTTTACCCTACTATTGGAAGTAGTCCATGAGATTGAGATTGGCCCATTTTTTCATTCCTTTTCACTTCTTCTTTCCTTTCAACTTGCGTGTTTGTAGCCCTTCTTGGCTTTCTGTGTTTAGTTTTTAAAATTAATAAGTTAGCATTCCTACAAGACAGTAAGGAGGAGACGCAAAACATTTCCAGAAGCAAGCAGTTTGACATTTCAGACAGACGGTACTTGGTCAATTAATGTTACCAATATTGAGAATCTTGTAATTAATTTTAAGATATTGTGCCACCCCAGCAGTTTGCTCATTACGTTGCTTGCTTCTTCCTCCTGTGTCTCTTCTTGAAGTTTGGAATTTTTGGAGTTTATTATTACAGCATGCTCATAATACATTTAGAATAAAAAAAAATAGAAATACTGTGTCGCCATTTATATGATTTTGTTTATTTGAATAATGCTCTTCGAATTCAAGAACTTCACAATAATAGAACTTCAGAGAATATTTACACATCGGAAGTTAGAGTGGGCCTTCAATAGATTTTTTTCGAAATTGAACACTTTTAATCATATAACTATGCAATCAAATGAAATAATAACTCAAAGGAGTGCAGGGATGCATGCTTTTTCTTTTTAATACTTTTTTTGGGGTGAAATTCCTCTTTATACTTATTCTTTCCTTTTTGTTTAATTATATTACATGTAATTGTTTGTGATAATAAAAAATTTAGACTCAACAGTTATTGATGAAACTTACAGAAAATAGCAGCATATTTAATTGTTGCCGACAATATCTACATGTCATAGCTTAAAAATTGAGAAAACAAAAGCTTTGGCTAAGTGAAAATCTAGATAAATTTATTATTTTAAAGAGCATTTCACTTTTAATATTTTAAAAAATTTAATCATTTGCGATGATGAAAGTTAGACATTAAACAGGCTGATCATCTATTAAATGAGGACTTCGTCCTGCTTGCTTCAAATGGCATTTTGGTTAATGCTCTCTGAATAAGCTATGAATCAGATCTTGGATGATCTCAATTTAGAATAGAAAAGGCAGATATCAACTTCGTTAATGATCTGCTTATGATTAATTAAAATTAGTAATTATGAGAATAAATTATTTATCTGGAGGGCCCCTCATAACTCTGGCTGGTACTTGAGGCATTGCCTTTCTTGAGGAGTACTTTTTTAGTTGTTATCACATGCCCTGACAAATTCCACTCATTTCTTTTCTCTTTTCTTTGTTTTTTTTTTTGGTGCTTTAAATTCTGTTTTAACAAATAAAGTGAAAGCTAAAACCAAAACTTGACTGAAGATAAAAAAGAAAAAGGACACACAAAAAAAAGAAGAAAGTGAATGGAGTTCAGTAAGCTGAAGAAAAACAAAGAGCCAAAATTAAAAACCAAAGGAGGGAAGAAATTAAAAGCCCTTGGAGTGGCTTTAAACAGAGTCATCAATTGCACTTTTTTAGAATGTTAATGGAAAATTATAATCTCATTTTATTACTATAAAAGGGAATAATTTAATTGCGTCTGCTTGATAAGGATGTGTCTTTTTCTCTGTAATTGTATGCGCTTGCCCTTGTCTGAATCCAAAGGAAAAGAATAAGCAGAATAATAATAACTGTTTGAGTTCAGCACAGGACATTAAATACGTAGCTCAACCTACTCCAAATAGTATTTATTGAGTTGAAAATAACATAAAATAAATATATATAAATTGAAAAGTACATTATCATTAATATTTAGAATTTATCACTATCACTAACTGGTGGGAATGTAATGGAAAACACAGATAAGAGAAAAAGGCTTAGCAAACACAGAAACACACACAGAGTGGGACGCACGTTGTTTCATCATGAAAGCAGGTTGTCACTCTCACAGCCCAAAAGCCGAAGTGCTCTCTCAATCACAATCACATTCCTCTCTAAACGTGTTTATATTTGGAGTAAAGACTGAATTTTTCTGATCAGGAACGAACGTTGATAAAATATATGTGTGTGTGTGTGGAAGAAGTGAGAGGCGTGAGGGCAGATCAAAGATGGTTATCATTTTGTTTTGGTATTTAAATCAAATGGGGCACTTTTCTTGAACGAGACTGTGAGCTCGCAAGAAACCTCGTCGTTTTCCTTCTTCTACTGCGGTGGGTTCTTGTTGCTTTCTGTTCACTCTGTTCGAGACACAAATATAAAAGAAGAAGCTTTTTTTGCTGAAGCGGGGATTTGCGTTCCTGGGTCTTTTCTGCTTTCAAGTTTCCCGCTTAGCTTCTGTTTACGAATTTATGAATTCTCTTTCTCCTTGAGAGAGACTTTGTCTAACAAGAGTCGGTTCGTCTGTGCCTTTTTGTATAATTGCATGTTGCTTTGATATTTCATTTCACTTTATCAATGGCTTAACTGTTAACTTCAACCTCTTATTGTGTATCTTACAGGATAAAGTTATATTGCATTGTATTCTTTCTCGTTTTCCGGGAAAGTGGAAAGCAGATGAATACCAGAGCACGAACCAGTACAACCACCACCTCCAGCCTTCAGGCAACCAAAGCTTCTTTAAATGATGAAAATAGAGTAATAAATTCACCTCCTTCTTCTTCTCACAGATTTTATTTATATATTTCTTGTTGTCCTATTGGAAGATCTCGAAGAACCAAGCACCCTGTTATGTTTGTCAGTTTCTCCAGAAAATTAGGCTCTCTACCCTCAAAGGTTCCAAAATTTTCACGTTATCTGAAATGAATTTTTTCTGCATATCTGTAAACGAAAAGCTTGATTTCAGAGCATAAATCAAGAACTGCTTTGATCACAAGCATGGAATTTTTCAGCTCCTCTGAATCCATAAAAAGTGAAATTTGGTTCTTTCGCTGATCTGAAGAAACGAATAGATTTTTGTCCTTCAGCTTCTTTTCTTGAACGCTTATAAAACAGATTCATTACTGACTGTGAAAATGCAGGGTAAAATGGAATCTCGAGGGAGCAGAGTAATGGGTGCCCAGAAAACCTTGAAAAATGGACGTCGATCGAACAGAGAAAGGAAAATGGCCTTGATACAAGATGTACATCAATCATTCTCATATGTTTCATTTGCGTCTTGCAATTAAATGTTACTTCTAAATAATTTATCAATTTAGCTCTGTTCATACCTACAGGTAGATAAATTGAAGAGAAAGCTCAGACACGAAGAAAATGTTCACAGAGCCTTAGAAAGAGCATTTACGAGACCTCTGGGAGCTCTGCCTCGTCTTCCTCCATATCTTCCTCCTTATGTTAGCATCTCTCTATGTTTCTCTTTCTTGTTTACTGCTATCCTGGAAATTTTGCTTTATTCCTAGAATTAACCCCTACATTGTTAAAGGAGAGATACATTCTCTTTATATTGAAATGAAATACTTTTGGAATTCAGACATTGGAGCTTCTTGCTGAAGTGGCAGTATTGGAGGAGGAGGTGGTACGACTAGAAGAACAGGTTGTGAATTTCAGGAAAGGTTTATATCAGGAAGCTGTGTACATTTCCTCTAAGAGAAATTTGGAAAATTTGAATGATTCAATTGAGCCAAACTCAATCAGGAGTTCCAAACACCAACGATCAAAATCTTTGTCCCAAAGCGAGTTTAATTTAACAACACCGGCTAGGCTTCAACCTCCTATTTCCAGAAGTGCTTCCAGTAGGAAGCTATTATTTTCAGCTGACACTGTGGTGTCTGATAACACCACTGGGAAGCAGTTACATAGAAAACAAAACTCAATCTCATCTATTCCAGAAGAAGGACGAGGCAAAGAGAATTTAACGTTTAGTAACGCTGTTATGAAGGACAAGCAGACTCCAGAAAAGAAAACATCCAAAGCCAGCACTCCAGTGAAGAAAACTCCCGTCAAACAAGAATCGGCAGAGAAGTTACAGGTAACCTAGATTATTACTTTCGAGAAACAACCTCTGAAATAGTTTAATTATTTCAACATCTTCATTTTCCGCACTCCTTTAGTTCTGTTACCTTCAGTTCTAGATGGAATTGGATAAGGGTTTGACAGTAGTATGATACAGTATATACATATTTCCAATTTCAACTTCGTTTTTTTTTTTTTTTGCCCAGCAGGAGTGGAGATTAACATGTCAAGAAAGAGCAAATGATAGAGCATCAGAAGTTGACATGACACCAAATGGAATATCAGAAGATATTGTGAAGTGCTTGTGTAACATATTTATAAGAATATGCACATCCAAGGACAGATTAGGAGAACTCAGTGATCCTTACGGCATTAATTTCCAATCCGAAAAGAGAGATATTGGTCCCTATAAAAATCTATGTGAAGTTAAAGCGTCCACGGTTGATTTCAACAGAACAACTAATGCATTGTTTCTGATCCATAGACTTGAGTAAGTTTTGAAAGGCTTAATTCTTTCTAGCTATTGGTTGATAGAATCAATATGGGTCTCCTGAACTAAACTGATATAATGGTTGGTATCCAGATTCCTACTTGGGAAGCTTGCTTCTGTGAAGTTGAAGGGTCTTACTCATCATCAGAAACTTGCGTTCTGGATAAACACTTATAATTCCTGCATACTGAATGTAAGATATAACATCCTGTCTCAAATTAGCTTCACCTTACTGCAATTCGAGGCAGAAGACAGGTCTCATGTTTTGACTTTGGATGTTTTAGGCATATTTACGGCATGGCATACCAGAGAGTCCTGAAATGGTTGTAATGCTAATGCAAGAGGTACGTCGAGCAGAAATATTAAGTTTTCAAAAATTCGGTACACATTAGTCTCCAAAATAAACAAATTTGGCGCACAACCTGACTCACTTTTCAGAAGGATTAACAGAAAGCGCCTGCTATTTTTACATGAAAATTCAAGGTCACTCATTTTTGGTTGTCTTTAGCAGGCAACATTAGTAGTGGGAGGCCAGTTGCTCAATGCAATTACAATAGAGCATTTCATTTTGAGACTACCTTATCACCTGAAGTTTGTAAGTTCCCCAATCAAGCGATGTGCTTTTAGACCCAATGAAGTTCATTTCTCTTCGAAGTCCTTACTTATTTGTACAGCTATGTAAATGTCTTAAAAATTATTTATCATTCATTCCCTGATTTCTCAAATTCTCTTTCTGCAACAGTCATGCCCGAAATCAACAAAAAACGATGAGATTATCGGTAGAAGCACATGTGGACTGGAATGGTCCGAGCCCTTGGTTACATTTGCACTCTCGTGTGGAAGCTGGTCTTCACCTGCAGTATGTTTCCTTCTCCCCACTTCAATCTAACCAATAGTCTCGTCATCTTTATACTGAGAATCTGTTTCTGAGAACACAAATCTTCATACAGTTGAAATTTAGTCCTAGGTTGTGTCGTTCATTGGATTGTGAGAGAGATTCATATAATACCACTTAGTATCAGCAAATATTGTCCAATAATACATTGGTGTCATATGGTAGATTTCTTTCTTGATGTGAATAACTGTATAAATCTTCTGTATATGAAGGTGAGGGTGTACACAGCATCCCAAGTTGAAAATGAGTTAGAAGCAGCAAAGAGAGATTATTTACAGGCAGCAGTTGGCATCACAAACACGAACAAGGTCATAATCCCAAAGTTGCTGGACTGGTATTTACTGGACTTCGCAAAGGACTTAGAATCTTTATTGGACTGGGTTTGCCTGCAACTTCCTCATGACCTCAGAAATGAAGCAATAAAGTGCCTTCAGAGAAGTGGAAGAGAGCCTCCTGTCTCTCAGCTGGTACAAGTAGTACCCTACGAGTTCAGTTTCAGGTTGCTCTTGCACCATTCATGAGAGTTTTAGATTTCTTAGACTTTGATATGGTCGGTTTGTATATTTCATAGTTTTACCTTGATATTTTTCTTTTTTTGGGTTTTTTTCAACAAAGAAAGTACATAAACAGAAGCCAGTGTAAATGTTCGTTGTAATTGAGTCGCTAGCAATTGGCAATACAACAGTGTTTAGAGGTGACAAGTTGGGAGAACCAATTTGGCATACTAGGATAAATTTAACTCCTTTAATCATTTATTACTATTGTTCATGGTTGGGATTGTTTAAGGTATCTTGTTCTGAAGTCAACATAGCTAACTGTTACGTGTTCTTTGGAACAATAATGTCCTGTTTCATACTTTTTTTAAAAAAATATAGCAGGCAATTGAGTATTAAACAACAAAGAAAAATACTACAAAATTTTGAAATATGTCTCCAATGTCATCTTGGAATACTTGGCAAGACCATGGAGCAATACTTCGTTTAGTAACATAATTATCGAGAGATTTGGATATGAGATGTAAGCTTAGTGGTGGTGCAGATATGTTACACACAGCATTTTGGGTAATTAAGAAGAGCAGAGCTTCTCTAGCTACGTGGCAAAAGTTGCAGCTGCATTCGCTACCATTTGGTTATAGGGGTGAAAGACCAATTGCTGCAATATTGATGATCTCTCCTGATAGTAATAACGATTTCCGAAAGGCAATTTTGTATGCCTTTTCAAAGAATTTTAACCATATTAATTTTAAAAGTGCATTATCCATCAGCTACTCCATTTTTTTTTTAATAAAATCGAAAGTTAGTTTTAAAAAAAATGACTTTCGGAATATCAAGTAAAATTGCAAGAGTTAGTCAATAACAAAATTATAAATTATATAATTGATATTTCATTCAAATTTTAAAGAAACAGAGTTTTAAGGAACAATTTTTTCTCTTGAACTTATCGATTAATTTTTGGACACAGTCATTAATCAGCAATATGCATATCAATTTGGCCAGTATGCATGTATCAAATCCGTATTATTCATAGATCACAAATAACTTTCCATGTGATCCTATTTACAAGACATTTAATCAAATAACAAAAACTAAAAAAGCAGTTAAAATTAATTGTTTTTCTCACATTTTAAGTAATGATCACATTTTAAAATTAATCTTAATTAAAGCAATTAAATAGTATGTGAGGCTCTCGTTGCATACATAATGTCAAAAATGAAAGATCCTCCCGGGGGGAAATCAAGTTTGTGAATGCTTCATATGTTTTAACCTATATCATTATCATGAACTTCTATGACCTCTTGTAATTAAGAGCAAAGAGACCATAATTCAACCCCCAAAATTCTACGGTAGAAGCATATAATTATGTTAAAAAAGGAGAAATGTTTAATAGCAAGATAATGAAAGAGATTATTTGAAGGGGTTAGTGAAACCTCTTAATTATGCACCAAGCATTGAAAGTGTGATCAGAGGTTTCCATTCACTCTTTTCTGTTAGATGCAATTTCACTTTCGAAGCAGCAGATAGAAGAATATTGGAGCCCTTATAGTTTAAATATTCAGGAAGCTTTTAGGCCAAAATAAAAATATACTCCTCAAATTATATTACAAAAAAAATATTATATTTAGAACTAAAAAAAAATTAAACAAACTCAAACTGACACGTAGGACCCACCACCGGCGGGATCCTCCCAAAACTTGGCGTATGCCACTGTAAGCAGCGGGCACACGGTATTCTTTAGTAAAAGGCGAAAGAATAGTTCGCTCTGTGCCCACTGCGTGGCTGCGTGAGTCTGGCGCATGCCTTGGTCCTGGTTTTATAGTGCCTTTCGCTATTGGAACTGTCCTGAGCTTCCCGATGCGGGGCTTTGAACGACTCTTCTGCTCCTATTGCTGATCCGATGAACCATGTCATGTTTCAGTTCAGTATCACTTTCCTTATATGTTAAAATCAATAGTTTCTTTCGACATCATAATACTTCTTAAACTCGCAAATGGATTTCATAAAGCAATATTGAAATTTATCCACGCAAAAAATGAGGCATAAGTGATAATTTTTGATAGAGGAGCATGGTGTGATTAAGAGTAAGGGCAAAAGTGTAAACAAAGAAATCTAATATTTTAAAAGATCAATTACAAGACATTAGAGGCTCAATGACAATGACAAGAATAAGGACTAAAGCTATGAAAGAAATCCTGAATTGTCAAATAAGAAAAAAAAAATTAGAACCCATTTATTTAGAGGAAGTATATTTTAGTGAGCCTAAAAGGAGTCCAAAAATGATGATCACATTGTTAGAAGCCCAACAAGATGATGTAAAAAGCCCATATGGGGTTCAGATTAAAGAATTCACTTAAAATACTATGTGACAAGCATATGTCTTGGACAAGGATCATAAGTGACGTTCAAGAACCTTCAAGAGGAATGAAGGATCAAGAAAGCATCATTATGAATTGATTATGATTTAAATTCATTTTTTTGTCAAGGATTATTCTAGAAGATCATGTTTTGATTTACTTTCCTCTTTTAAATAGCAAATTTGTTCTTGAAGTTCAAGTTATTTCTTTTTATTTCTATGTAATAAATAGTGTCTCTCATAGTCAAATAATCATTAATGAGGTATCATCTCTAGCATTTATGTCTTAAGATGCTGATTCTAGGGTCTTCTATAATTGCTTATATATAGGCTACGTTTTTGTAATTGAATTTTCAGACTTAGATAAATGAGAATTGGGTTTATTTTTCTCTGTGTGAGCTTTGCTTGCATCCTTATATTCTTATGAGAATACTTAACAGTATTAGGAGACTGATCAATCTCGTGGTGTCTTTATGACTAAAGTTGTAAGAGACAGGTTCTCTTAAGATCATATCTAATCAACTGTCGATTCGTTACTTGATTCCAACCGTACGTCTCCCTCTTATTAATTTTAGAATCAATGTTGGAATTTTTCGTGTTTATTTGTGTGAAGTTTGTGAAGATTAAGCCACGTAAATCTGATACGTTATATATAACGTCTGCCTTCTATCCTCTCGATACTTGGTATGCTTCTGAATGACAAAATGTGCTCTTTTATTTTAAGATACCACTCACAATTGATAGCGAATCAATTCAATTACAGCTGTAGCGAGTCCAGGGACAGGGAGTAGCGTGGTACGCAGCAAAAGGCGCAAAACCTTGAGGCAATGATTCAGACATGCCGAGCTATAACACCCCCAACGTTATGGTGCTTTTGCCCTTTCTCTTCCTTCTATTCTATCCTTTCCTTTTCTTCATCTTCTGTGCATGGTCAACTCGCGGTTTGTCGGGTCAAAAAGCTTTGAAAGTGAGATGACTTTAAGCCAACGCTAACCCGGGACAAATTATTTATTCATTTTTTGGTGAAATTTTTTATTTTTAAATTTTTTTTATACAATATCCAAAATAATATAATAAGATTTTTTGTTTTTATTTTAAAATATTTGATTGAAATCACTAAATAAATTATACGGATATTTGTTTAAGATATACTAC